TATATTTGGATATACATATATATCACACATATATGTATGTAATATTCAGTTTGTACCAGTTTAGCTCCTAGACCCTAAACTCAATGAAGGTAGTGATTGTGTCTGATTTGTTCACCATTGTACCCCCAGGGCCTAACATGTATTGGATAGATACTCAAATATTTGCTGAATAAATGATTAGTCAAAGTAATGCAATGTAATGATGATGGAATAGGTTTGTTTTTATCTTATAAGAAGGTCTGCTTTTAAAATCTTTTCTTATTAAAAGACTCAGGTTATAAATTTAGATTGTGTTATTTTAAGAAAGCAGCCCTGACTGGTGTGGTTCAGTGGGTTGGGCGTCATCCCGCAAAGTGAAAGGTCGCCTGTTGGAGTCTCAATTCTCGGTCAGGGCTCATGCCCAGGTTGCAGGCCAGGTCCCTGGTCAGGGGTGTGCGTGAGGCACCCAATCAGTGTTTCTCTCCCTTTTTTTCTCCCTCCATTCCGTGCTCTTTCTCTCTCTCTCTCTCTCTCTCTCTCTCTTTCTCTCTCTAAAAGAAATCACTGATGTTTCTACAAAGAAATATGATTGAACATGTTCTCTGGATTATCAAATCAGAAGTGCGTTTGCCAGTTCATGAGACTGAGACTTTCAAATAAGTGCAGACCAGTAGCGGCAAAATGTTTAAAGGGGCCACTTGCCTTGGAAACACTTTCGATTTTGTCTGGGGATGAAGTAGTATTAATTGTTTCTTGGTGTTGGTACCAGGGCATATAGTTTTAGGGTATTTGCACAAGAGGTGTGCTGCGCCTTCCTCTGTAAAGCTGACCAGCTGAAATGGCAGAGCTGAGTGACGGAAGTCCGAGGTTGGTGGGGACCTCAGAAATTAAGGCCATGAAGAATGCAAGTCACTCCCATGCAGGTCGAGTGCTTGGAGCTAACTCATGGTGTGCAAGGAAGCCCGAGCTTCCTGAAGAACTCACCCCCAAACTTCATGGAACCACCTCATGCTTCTTCAGCAGAAACCTGGTGACAGGAGACCTCTTTAACAATGTTAAAACAGCTAAAAGATAGCCTTTCCTTCCAGGAATAAGGATACGCTTGGTTGTGCAGGCGTCAGTGAGGGTGGAAGGAGCTGCTTCATACATAGCCTTGCAAACAAGCCCAGCATTGTCAGAAGTTTGCTGTTTCTGCTGCCATTCCCTTACTCCCCTCTGCCCTCAAAAGATTTTTAAGTGGTCAGGGCCATGATGTTGCCCAGTCTTGTTACCAACTTTCCTTTTTCTTGATCTTTTGTTTCAATGTCTGCTTTCTTTCCCCTATGTGTGCTCACTGAAGCTGGATTGTGGGGTCAAGCTATAATTAGTTTATATATGATGTTTAATTCACTGTGGCTCTTCTGGCATTAGATTCAAATGGGCTTTGATGTCTGGCTGGTGCTTTGATCCCGGACCCTCAAATGGTGGTCATCACCCCAACTCAAAGGATTGTCCTTTATTTTTTTCCCTCCTATTTGGAGACAGCTTTTCCCAATTACATCATTTGTGTTTGTTTGGCCATAAAAGCTGCAAGGCATCATTTTGTTGCTTTGCTCTATAGCGGAACGTGCAATTGATGCTCCTTACTTTGCTTGGCTGCAATAGAATGTTCACTGCTAGATAAGGCATTTGAAGAATGATACTTAGACTTTGGTAGGGATACCGCTGGGAGTTGTTCTGCCCAAAGGCAGAGTCAGACTGTATGATCTGAGGGACCTTTCCTGGCTCTGCCCAGGAAATACCTTTAAGCATTAAGCTACACAACTGTGATGTGTTCGGTCAGGACTTCTTCATGCTGACAACTTATCTCACGCTCCAGATCAGTGTGTGTGGGGGGAGCGGGGGAGAGCAGCCCAGATCCACCCTAGTTTTAATGCCACACTTTCTGAGTGTGGATTACCAGTTTTTCTGAAAACGGGGTGGGGGCCACTGTAGACGGCGTGGATGGGGTAGGGTGGGGCAGGGGAAAGCAAAAGAATGAACAAGGGCTGAAAAATTCTAGAAAGGAGATGACAAAGTTGCATTAGTAGAGGAAGAAGCACCAGCATCTGCTTTAAAAAGAAGCAGAAAGGAAAATCCAAACAGTAGAGGAAAGTGAGACCCTGTTGGCAACGGAAGGAAGCAGTGAGCAGTGAGTAGGTGCTTACCTTCAGCTGCTTCCCGGATACCTGCAACTAAAACATAGAATCAGAGGAAAGAAAAGCCATAGATCTAGACTGGAGAGGAGAAAATTTGGCTGTTGGGTTAAGAAGAGAACAGGGGCAACCCAACCAGTCACACTTAATCTGACGACATTGGGAGTTTTCCTGGAAAAACAATTAGAGCATTGAGCTCCTTGCTTCTGCTTCATTTGACAGCCTGAGTTTGTTTTAATTGGCGTGTGAATGAACAGCATTATTTATTAATGTGTAATGGATACTGTGGAAAGCATAACCTTTTTTCCTATTTGTGACCATTTTATTGGCAGCACCATTTGAATGCATTAATTTTAATATTTAAACTTGTTGGGAACACTTTTTCATGGAGATGTACAAGCTGTTACGGCAAATGGTTTGCTTTGGACTAATGAGCCAACTCCAAAGTGGCATTTGGTGAGGAGAGGGGTGGGACGGTGGGTGGATTTGAAGAAATAGCCACTTGTCTGTCTGCTTTAACAAGATTTATTCGTAGTGTGTAAAAACATGTTTCAGCTTTCCCCCCTCTCAACTATATAAATATAGTTGTCAGTGTGTAACACAGCACAGGCCACAATAATAGACTCCACCCAGCCAGAAGGAATCTAATTCAGAGCTAGAAAGCAAGGAGCTTGCCTAGAAATGAATAGAATGAGACAATGACTGACAGAGGACATGGGTGAGTGGCCTTTGGCTGACAGGGTCAGTCATTATCTCCTGGTGCCTTGCTAAAATTTAGGAGGAAAAGTTAGTTCCTTTATTATCAAGTACAGTGTTTGGTGCACAGTAGGCATAAAGCGTAGGTGACCTGAATAAAACTGATTTTGTTTTAAAAGCTGCTGAACACTTGAACATAATTCCATTCTTAGTTCTGACATAATATTGTGTTAATCATGAATTGTGGATGCAGTTATAGTTCCTCTTATGCCTATGAGGGGTAGCAATAGGGAGGTCGATGGGAGGGCAAGGGAGCTCTTGGTTTTGTTTTGTTGTTTGTTTGTTTGCTTTTTTTTTTGTATATGTCACCTTGATTCTATTTGTCTGAGGGATTAAATGGGTACTATTAAGTAAGAAAGCATGTTAATTAAAAAAAAATTGTATCACCACCTACATTTTTAAGTCCCTCTCTAGTGATCATCAGTTGAATGCTTGCAAGGCATCGTCTTGAGAATAGTAATACTAAGAGAGTTTCAACAGTCCTTGCCTCCAGGGAACTTTTATCATTCAATTGGAACAAAGAGATACACATAAACACCTATGTGTGTAGGTATATCTGTACATGCCCAGAAAAATAACCACAAAAATAACATTTGGTGTGAATCAGATATTCATGCAATTAGTTGACAAGTTCAGGGGAGGGATGTGAACTGATCTTGGAGGGAAGGTTAGACCACACAGAGGGGATAAATGGAACATTCTTAGAAGGGCAAAGCAGCGTAAGAATCTGAAGTAATGATAGAGGATGCACTCCTTCACACTCTTTGCCTGAACTTCAGCAGATTGTGACTTGCTCAATTCAATTTTTTAGGCTCTTGGATGTACTGCTTTTAAAAATAGATATTGTACTTTTCCACCGACAAGTAACATTTCCAGACCTCTATTCCATTGAAGTTCCCTGTGACCAGTGTCCCAAGCAGAGATGACCATACTGCAGGAAGAAAGTCTGAAGAACTTCTGGAGGGGGAAAACAAAAGCTCGAACTCACGGGACCCTTACTATCTCTGTGTCTGCCACATTGTAAACGCCCTCCCACCCCATGTATATTGTACTACACTATATTTTTATTATAGTTCTTCCAACAGGCAGATTCTGTTAGTAGCTCATTATACCGTCAGGGAAACAGAGGCACAAAGAGGTGAAATAACTTGCCCGCCCAGCTAGTCTTGGCTGGAAAAGGGATTCAGATTGAGGCAGTCTGGTTTCGCAGTCTGAGCTCTCGTTGAGTGCAGACTAAATAACGATATAAAACTTACACAGAAACCAAAGCGTGCACACGTGCGCGCCCACCACACGGAAACTCCGAGCTTGCGAAAGAATGGATGCAACGCTGACTGTACAGCGATATCTTCCTGCCTAATTTTAAATGCCTTCCGTGAGAAAACCCAACAGCAACAAACCTAAGAGGTGAACAGTTTCAGAAGGTTGTATTGTGCATTATAGTCCTTGCCTTTACGAACTGTATCAAAAAACCAAACCTACAGAAGTTGTCACTGAATGCACTCGCAGAACCTAGCTTGGTAAGGTGAAGGAAAGCCACAGCAATCTCGGTGGATGTGTGCGGAAAGGGTTAAGATGGTGTGCAGCAACTCGGTCGAGTTTCAAAAAGTTCTCTGGGGAGCCCGACCGCGGCGTCCCTCCGCGGACCCTGCTGCGAGGCCGGCTGTAACAGGATGCTGGAGCTCGAGGTGCTCGCTCCCTGCTTTGTGCGGTGGGAAAGAACCAATAAGCAGCGAGGCAAAAATTGGGTGCAGTAAACTCGAAAAGGGGGCGAGGAGGCCCGCGGGAAGAGCGGGGGAGGAGAGAGGGAGGAGCGGGGAGGGCCGAGCGGGGAGGAGGCCGGCGCTGTGCGCGCGCGGCGCCCCCTGACAGTCTAGGGGGAAGTCGGGGGGAGCGGGCCTCGGAGCCGAGGGGCCGGCGCGGGGAGGCGGGCGCCAGGCGGGGGTTTGCCCGGCCGCCGCGCGTGACGTAGCGCCGGGCAGGGCGTTATCAGCTGCGGGGCCACATCGAGCGACGCGCGGCGCAGCGGACGGCGCCGCTCGGGCCCGGACGGCTGCAGCCCGCGGGTACCGAGCGATCCCGGCCGACGCCCCCGCCGCTGTGTCCCGCCGCCGGGCAGCATGAGCTCGCGGTTGCAGCTCTAAGCGCCCCGCTCCTCCGCCCGGACGGCCCGGCTGAGGTGACGGGTGCTCGTTGCAGGGCTGGGGGCCATGAAGCCGAGTTCGGCCGGGACGGCGAAGGACCTGGAGCCGCAGGCACCGGCCCGGGGCGAGCAGCGCTCGGCGGAACCCGAGGGGCGCTGGCGGGAGAAGGGCGAGGCGGACACGGAGCGACAGCGCACCCGAGAGCGGCAAGAGGCCACGCTGGCCGGGTTGGCGGAGCTGGAGTACCTGCGCCAGCGCCAGGAGCTACTGGTCCGTGGCGCCCTGCGCGGCGCTGGGGGCGCGGGCGCTGCCGCGCCCCGTGCCGGGGAGCTGCCGGGGGAGGCGGCGCAACGCAGCCGCCTGGAGGAGAAGTTCTTGGAGGAGAACATTTTGCTGCTGCGGAAACAATTGGTAGGTCGTGTCTGGAGGCAGACGGGTGGGGGTCGGGCAGGTGACCTGGAGTGGACGCCAGGGTGTCTCCGGCTGGGGAGATTTCGAGGTTTCCGGGACCCCCGTCCTCCTTGACCCCGGTCCCTGTGTGTGCCCGCTTTGTGTCAGGTGAGGGGCGGGTGGCTGCCCTCCCTTTGGGATTCTTGAAGGGGGCCTGGTTTTAACCCTTAATCTCTCTAGTTAGACGAATGAATGCATGCCCTCTACCCGAAGGTTTGCAAACCCCTCATTTAAAATGCCATTTCATTTGGAGGTCTCTTTAGTTTCATGTCCTCCCGCTGAGAGGGGACAAAAGCCGAGGAGGGGGCCTGTGGCGTGGTTAACTGTCCAATGCTGAATTTTACGATTGCCCGGAATCGCACGTAGGAGCCCTGCCCCTCCCTGGGCTCTCCCCAGCGTGCCAGCTTTGGCTTGGGCTGCTGCTTAATTTCAAATAGAAGCCCTTTGTACAAGGCAGCTAAAACAGACGCAACTGATGGAAATTTGCCTGGAGAAAGTGCCCCCTCCTCTCATATTTTATACGTACTCCTAGCCGTGCCTGGTGGTGGAGGTGGGAGAAGAGAGAAGCTGCTCTCGGGGAGCATTTATGTCACTGGATTTCTGCCTGCGCCTCTGTCAGTCTATGTCATCTTATTAATGGGGAAGGAAAAGAACTTCGGCGCTTAATGTATCGGTGAACAGCTTTTGACCTCCGCCTGAGAATGATGGCGGCAGCTTTGTTTCGGTGACCTCAAAAATGTAGTTTTGAAAGCAATGGCAGCAGGAAAACAAAAACAAAAACAACCCCTTATCAGACCATGTGATACTATCTGGAACTAGACACAAGCTTAGATAATGTCCCTCCTACAATAAGGAATGTCGTGATGTCAAGTGTTTTCTTGTATTATCTCTTTTTGGATAATTTCTCTCTTTTGAGCGTCTTGGTAGCTTTATTTTTTCCTGAAGAAACCTGTCCTAACAAACATGCATATGGCGTAAGCCCAAGCTTTTTAAGTCAAAGGACACGCAGGAGTAGTAATTCATGTGCATCTATTTTGTAGGGAGGTATGTACATCATAGTTTGTGTTATACCTCTGTTTTGGCATTTACCGTGTTGCACTGGTCGCAGACCAGGTTTGTATGTAACATTGATTTGGGCCAATTCTTGCCGGCTATGCCTGGTCATTGACATTTTATGCGTTGTCTTGTACAATGGCACCTTTTTGTCTTTATGAATCTCAGGATTGTAAGTGGCACATTCCTGTTGTCCCCTGGAGGGGAGCAAGGCAGCATGTCAGGAGAATTCCAGTCCAGTCAATGTTTGTGGTAGTATTTTCATTTGTAGACTTTGCATTCGTGATTTGAACCAGATGCCTTTTTTTCCCCTCCAGCAATAGGAAGCGCTAGGTGGCGGTGTGAGTTAGCGCTACAGATCTGTCACCTTTGGAAACCCGAGTTGAGTTCAAATCTTGATGGACCTTCCCTTGAGGGTTTTGAATTCTGCCAGCTCACATTTTACTTGGCACTGGCTATTAGTATTAGTTTCTCACTTTCAAAGGCCCTAAGACATTAAACTCCACAAAGCAGCTAATAGAAAACAAAGCTCTGCAGGACATTTGGCCAGCAAATCTCACCTAAGTAAGATTATAGGAAATCTGTTACACTCTGACTTCAAATTAAAGAGTCTACTGTTAAGTACTGTTTTGTAAAAAATTGGCTGCACACAGACGATTTTACAAAATCTCAGTGCATTTTTTGTTATCCTTACCTATAAAAAGTAAGTTTGTATACTTTAGTTGAAACTAAAAGCAAGTCTTGTTTTTATGAAGAAATTTTATATCACTGTAAAATGTGAGAAAGTGGTCTTAAACATAGGACATATGCATAGGAAAATAAAGTTTTTCTTTATTTCAGATCATCCAGTAAAATTTTGGTTTTGGAAGATTTAGTGAACTCTCTAGGTGGTGATTTGAAGACTTAGCGCAGACTTTCTAGTTCTTTGTCACCAAAATGTGTTCATTTTTCCTTTCTCCCTAATCAGAATTGCTTGAGGAGGAGAGATGCTGGTTTGTTGAATCAGTTACAAGAACTTGACAAGCAGATAAGTGACCTGAGACTAGACGTGGAAAAGACATCTGAAGAGCACCTGGAGACAGACAGCCGGCCCAGCTCAGGTGAGTGAGCGCAAGGACAGCATTCCGCACTCAGGAACTCTCCCTTGCCCCCTGTGCTTACCATTCCCAGACCTGCAAATGGCCATGGAGTTTGTTTCCAGTGCAGACAGAATAAAAAAGCAGTCATTCAGCTGCAGGAGAAGGAACTAAAACCAGAGTACCAAATTTTTAATAATGAGATTGATCTGACTGGAGTCCCCTGAGTTTAAAAATAAAAGCGTCTATTCAAATTTCTGGAAGAGCGGTCCTCCTTTGAAACTTGAGAAAGTCAGAACTGGGCTAGAAAATTAGTCACACTTCAACTTCCTGAGACTACTTCAAAGTTTTTTTTTTTCTTTTAAACCATTTGGCTCTTTAAATAGATTTGTTTTCTCTTCAAGTTTTTCTTTTTGAAACGTTCATGGTAACGTTGAGGCTTTGATACACCTAAGTCTCTTTCCTTGCACATCTTTAAAGGTTGGGTCAAGGAAGAAGGTCAATTTGACCTGAAGAGTAACTTTGAAATGTACCTATAGTTATGGGCTCTTTGCTTTTTCTAAGGATTGCTTGAAATAAAACCATAAAATCAAGACACTAAGTCCCTAGAGCCAAAATTGCTCCTTCCCCAAAGGTTTCCGTTTCCTACCTTTTCTCAATGACTATCCCTTTTCCTTTTAAGCACAAAGTGTATTATTGTATGACATGATCTTAATTCAAAATGGTGTTTTTGTTTGTAGGGTTTTATGAGCTCAGTGATGGGGCTTCAGGATCCCTTTCCAATTCCTCTAACTCAGTCTTCAGTGAGTGTTTATCCAGTTGTCATTCCAGCACGTGCTTTTGCAGCCCCTTGGAGGCAACCTTGACTATCTCAGATAGTTGCCCCAAATCTGCAGGTAAGCCTTTTTAGAATTAATACACATTAATTTTTTTTATTGATTTTTTTTTTTTTAAGAGAGAGAGGATTGGGGGAGAGAGAAACATCATTCCATTTATCTTGCATTCATTGGTTACTTCCTGTATGTGCCTTGGCCAGAGACTGAACCTATAACCTTGGTGCATTGGGATGATGCTCTAACCAATGGAGCTACCCAGCCAGGGCCTAGAATTAATATACATTTTTTTAATTTGAAGGGGTTAAAGATTCCTTAAAGGTTACATAGCTTCAACACCTTTTACTGATGAAAATGAAAAACAAAAGCTCTGAGAATGTCATAAACTTGCTGCATTTAGTACTACAGTTGCATCTAGAACCAAGACGACTATTGTTCTAGTCCTCTTTGGGTGCCATTTGGCTTTATATTCAGCTTATCTTTAGAAACCCTCTCTCAATATTATAGGTCTTAAGCTCTGTTACTGAGCCTTTGCTTAACAGGCTTTGTTAGGCTTTGACTTGTTTGCATTTTCTTTTGAAAACCACTTGGGATCTGTTTTCTTCTTTCTTTAATCATACAAAGCTAAATCTTATATTAAGTTAAATGTATCTGTCAGCTTGATGAAGCGCTGCTTGGCACCTCAGGGAACAGTGGCCCTTCCATGTTCTCCAGAATGCTCTGTATGATGGCAGCTCTCCTTTTAGCAGGTGAGCTGGATGAGATCCCCTTAGGCCATGTGCCATTGTTCCTCATTTTGGGCCATCCTTGCCATCACCTCCTGAGAGAATCATGCTATTGTTGGTACTGGAAGAGTTTCTGCATTTCCACTATGCATCATACACTGTACTGGAGGGTCTGCATACATATATCTCCTTTGAATCCTCCCAACAGTTCTGCAGGGTGCAGGCGTTGTTAGCTCCATTTTTTTGTATCAGAAAGTGGGACCTAGCGAGGTTAGGTTCCGTAAGTTGTTTAAGGCTAAATAACTATTGAATGGCAAAGGTAGGATTCAAGCTCAGGACAAACTGCCAAGTCTATGGTTTTCCATCACACAACACCAAGGGACTTTGGAAGTTGTGTTCAACCTTTCCGTTGAAAAGAGGAGAAATTTGGTTTTCATACTCTGTCAGAGGCTCCACATCTGCTGAAAGGCAGAGGTGTTCCTGAAACTCAGGACTCCGTCCTTAGCTCTGCCTCATTTGATTCCTCAAAAGAGCTGAGAAAGTACCGACATTAAAAGAGCTGTAGGTGCTGTCACATGTCACTGCACTCTTGGTTTGACTGTGTTCTCCATGTGGGTATAAGGCTGAATTTTAAAGTCCAGGTAATGAAAACATAACACCAGACAACTGAGGCTGCTCATTGGCTGATGTCTTTGTATTTGTAGAGCATACCTTGTCAGCAGCAATCATTTGGGGAAGCACAGATCCCTGTACCTAGAGTGTCTGGGCCTCACATTTCTTGGTAATTGCTCCCCTTCACTCTGCAGATCTGGTTTCAGAGGGAAACTTTAAAACCCATTAAAGGCACTTTGGTCTAGGTTTTCCTTGAAGACAGACCCCTCTTCCAAATGCCACATCTTCACATAATTGGACAGTTGGGCTGGGCCTTGGGGGCTGGGATGTCTGTCTTATTCCTTAACTCTAAGTAGGGAAAAGGAACGGAATGGTAAAGTGTGAGTTAAAGTGGCTTTAAGCAAGGCAGATAGGCCTCAGGGTATAGTAGAGGAGGAGGGATGGGCAAGGATATTAGCAAGAGAGGGTTCTCTTTACAATAAGCTATTTATTGGGAGTGAGGTAGAGGGGTGAGAACATGGCACTTTTATTTTATAATGATCGTTTCTTTACAAATGAATCACATTATTTATGGGTATAGACTATAAATTCCCTGAGACTGCTAATTATCAGTGAAATTCATGGAGCTTTTCCTTAAACAATTAACCTAGAATATAGCACACAGTAGGTTTTCAGTATTGAGTAAATAAATATAATGGAGGACAAATTAGTGATGAAAACTTTGATTTTCGCTAGCTGAAGGTCACTAAAGGGATTCAAAATTTACAGTATTCACTAAGAGATCAAAATCATTTAATTAATATGCAAGAAAACTTGATTTCATTGTATTTTGGCATCTACATTTTTTTTTTCTTAGATGTGGAAAATGTTAGGAGAAAGCCCATAGAGAGAATAGTTTATTGAAAGTATTTTAAAGAGAAACCAGAATAGAACAGTGGGGAAAGTATCCTAGGGAAAGAATGACTAAGAAAATATTTATTTTTCCAGTTGTAAATGCAGTACATATTCTTTTTAAAATTTAGGAAATAGAAAACAAAGAAGAAAGTAAACCACTTATTTTATTAATAAGTGTAGCATACTGAAAGGCTACAATTAGCTAGCATTTGGGTGTGTCTCATCTCAGACTTTTTTCTTTGCATCTATACAGTCTTGATAAAATTATAATCATAGACTGATATAGCATGATTTTTACTACACTTTAAAGTGTTTCCCCATGTTATTCAGTAGTTTGAAAGCATTTTTTTTGGCTGAATATTTTTCTCTCGGAGGCTACATCATATGTTAAAATTTTCTTTGTCAAATATTTTTTCCCTCCTCCAGTATTCTGCACTGTATGTAAAATAGTAGAGTAGCTCATGGAGTATTTGTTGATTCTTTGGCATTCTGTCTCTCTACTCATCAATTTGTCTTCCTAGAAATTGGCCAGAGTCAAGCTGGTGCTGACCAGTTCATTTCTTCAGAGTGTACCTTTAAATGTTTTTCAGATCTCATAGGATGGTTGGACTATACAGAAGGCCACTGTGAAGACCAGGCCTCAGAGGCAGTTTGCTGTTTCCCCTCCACATCACAATTTAATCCCCTTGGTGTCATTGCAGATGTGAATCCCAAGTACCAGTGTGATCTGGTGTCTAAAAACGGGAATGATGTCTATCGCTATCCCAGTCCACTTCATGCGGTGGCCGTGCAGAGCCCAATGTTTCTCCTTTGCTTGACGGGCAGCCCCCTGAGGGAAGAGGAGAGGCTGGGGAACCATGCCAATGACATTTGTGTCGGATCTGAGCTGGATGCTGTCAAGACAGACGCTTCCTTACCATCTCCAAGCAGTTTGTGGTCTGCTCCCCATCCTTCATCCAGTAAGAAAATGGATGGCTACATTCTGAGCTTGGTCCAGAAAAAAACACACCCTGTAAGGACCAACAAACCAAGAACCAGTGTGAACGCTGACCCCACGAAGGGGCTTCTGAGGAATGGGAGCGTTTGTGTCAGAGTGACTGGGGGCGTGTCACAGGGCAGTAGCGGGAACCTTAAGAATTCTAAACCTGTGCCTTTGCCCTCGGGCGGGATCTCCTCTTTGGACAATGGGACATTCTCCCCACTGAAGCAGTGGTCAAAAGAATCAAAGGCAGAACAGCTGGAAAGCAAGAGGTTGCCCCTGCCAGAGGGCGGCTCCCTGGGCGCAGTTCCTGAACTTCAAAGTAAGCATCTGCCCAAAAATACCAAGCCAGCCACGCAGGAACAGGTTCGGTGTCCCACGGCTGTGCCAGGGGAGGCCCCTAAAGAAAGTAGTCAGATCCCAGCTTCCTCTCCAAAAGAGAGCCCCGGGAGAGTCCTTGCCCCACTGCAAGAAAACAAAGTTGTCCAGCCACTGAAAAAGATGTCACAGAAAAACGGCCTGCAAGCGGTCCCTCTAGCTGGGCCCCCGCCTGCCCCCCCTGCACCACTGTCCTCAGCTTTCCCAGTGGAAGAGCGGCCTGCCCTGGATTTCAAAAGCGAGGGCTCTTCTTCTCAAAGCCTGGAGGAAGGGCCTCTGGTGAAGGCGCACTTCGTCCCTGCGCAGCAGCCGGGCGTCCGGCCGCACCGGGCCACCCGGACTGCCGCGGCCCCCAGGGGCTCCGCCCTGAAGCACAGGGCCCAGGCTCTCCACGGCCCGGAGGGTGCTTTGCCCACCGTGAGGGAGAAGACCCGGGTGGCCAATAAGAAGTGTCGGTTCCCCGACGACGTGGATACAAATAAGAAACTCAGGAAGGTCTCGGCCAAGGGAAGGAGGAGTGGAGGCGGCCAGGCCGAGGCGGGTGTCCCCAGCCGGCCACTGGGAGCCGCGCACCGGGCGGGGAGCAGGGCGCATGGCCACGGCCGGGAGGCGGTGGTGGCCAAGCCCAAGCACAAGCGAACCGACTCGCGGCGGTGGAGGTCGGCCGCTGAAATCTCCTACGAAGAAGCCCTACGGCGTGCCCGACGTGCGCGGCGTGAGAACGCAGGCCTGTACCCGGCCGCCGTGGCGCTGCCCTACAGCAGTCCCTACGCGTATGTGGCCAGCGACTCCGAGTACTCGGCCGAGTGTGAGTCCCTCTTCCACTCCACTGTGGTGGACACCAGTGAGGATGAGCAGAGCAACTACACCACCAACTGCTTTGGGGACAGTGAGTCCAGTGTGAGCGAGGGCGAGTTTGCAGGGGAGAGCACCAGCACCAGCGACTCAGAGGAAAGCGGGGGTCTGATTTGGTCCCAGTTCGTCCAGACGCTTCCGATTCAGACGGTCACAGCCCCAGACCTTCACAACAATCCTACCAAAACCTTTGTCAAAATTAAGGCTTCACATAACCTCAAGAAGAAAATCCTCCGCTTTCGGTCTGGCTCTTTGAAGCTGATGACAACTGTTTGAGTCGTATCATGGGTGTAGCGAGTGGTTTTTTTCTAGTGACTGAAGGAAAGGTGGTGTCTTAGTTTTTTTGTGTAATAATTTCATGGGATGCTTTCCTTTTGTTAAGATAAAACCGAAGTAAATTATGTCTCTTCGTTATATATGGACACTAGTGCCTTTCCTGGAAGGTAAAGAATGTTTTGTTAGTTAGAAGTAAATATTGAGGTTTTAATGGTGGTGATAGTGAATGAATTTTTGTGGTATCAGCTGATTAAATTCTGATTTTAAATTTCCTGAGCATCTGTGAAGGCACAGGTTTTGATGCTCAAGTCTTACTGGGATGAGACCTGTTGATCCGAAGGTCAGGTAGGTGGAATTATAGGACATACATTTGCTTCTTGGTTCTTTTGGGCAGTGTCTCCATGAGGGCTTTTCTGTAGGGCATCGCATAGTTGTGTGAAGTAGGTATGAAGGACAATGTTTGTTTTCTGTAGTTTTTTTATGTAGTCTTCATGTCTCAGATATTCCCCCCCATCCTATCTTCTCAGAACTGTTTGGTTTACTGGACTCAGAACTTGAAAACAACTCCCTAAATCCACAGATCTGGTTTCATGGATGGGGAGACTGGTAATACCTTAAGGGATTCACTAAACTTTTGCCACACTTGGTGCCTAGGCCCTGGTTACAGTAACCATTTCTAGGGCCTTTTACCAAACATTTTGATGCTTTCTTCTTCCTTAATTTGCAGCAGATCCAACCATTCCTCCCTTCGGAGGACTTGCCTTTGGGATAAAACTTTGCTCCTTGGGTACAGAGAAGTTTACTCCTAACAAAATAACCTTGGGCATTACTCCAAGCCCACAATTGCTCACTGAGCACTGTGCCACCTAAGCATTGGTCCAAACATGTTAGTGCAATCCAGTCCAGATTGGACCACTGACCCTATCTGAAAGGGCTTAAAACAAGTTTTTGGTAAACAGTATTGTGTAAAATTGCTTTTTTAAATACCAATATATGCATGTTTTGTGCATGAGTAGTATTTGTTTTGATATTCCTGTTGATGTTAAATTTACTGTATGATATAAACAGTATGTGTTTTTATATATCATTGTGTAAATTTAATATAACATTATATGCTGTAATAAACGATTTGTTTTACTGCTGTTAAGTTTGTTATTTGAGTATAAAAACATGTTTACACCTATAAGTCTTATACTGATTTTGTGGGATTTATATTAGGCCTATTCTAGCATTAGAATATCATTTGCAATAATTAAGGCAGGTTTTAAGACCTATTTTCAAATGGATGGTAAGCAGAAGGAAAAGCAAACTACTTCTTTAGAATAATAGTAAGGTAATTCTTTAAAATTTAAGGTAAACTTGATAGATGTTATTTAGGCAAATATATCTCCCCTGAGCTTTTTAGTAGTCGAAAGAATAGCACAACACCTGTAAAGACACCACCTAGATTCAGCAATTGCTAACATTTTGCCATTCTTGCTTTAACTCTGTATTTATAAGCTTAAATTGTATTTCTGGTTTTGTAGGTCAAAGACAGATTTTGGCAAAGACAGATTTTAAGCATGTATTTCCTAAGGACAAGAAGATTCTCTCAAATAACCCCAATATCATGACACACACACCCAAAGAAAATTGAGAATAATTCTTAATAACAAATTTTTAACCTCTTCAAAATTTCCAATTTGTTTCAGGAGTTTTTAATAGTCCCTTCCCCCAATCAGGATTCAATCAACGTATGCATTGTATTTGGTTGTAAATCTTTAGTCTAATCTCGAATGGTCTTGTAATTTTTTTTTAATGACATTGGTTTTTAAAGTCAGGACAGTTGTCTTGTAGAAGGGCCCACATACTGGATTTGGTTTTTCTTATGTTGTCCTAACATCTTCTGGTCTCTCTATTTCCAGTAAATTGTGTAAGGCTTGAATGGATTCAGTTTAACTCTTCTTGGCCAGAAGATTTTTCTAGTGATCTTGTGTACTTATATTGCTTCACATCAAAGAACATAATACCAATTTGCTCTGCTGTTACTGAATTTAAGAGTGATGCCTGGGCTAAGTTGGTAAACAGAGATTTTTCTTCATTATAAAGTTTGTTTTTTTCCTCTTTGCAAATGGTTGGTATTTGAGGGTGTTTATTTGGTGCTGTGTGGATGTCTTGTTCTTCACAAATGATTACATTGCTGATCTTTGCCTGAATCAGTTACTGCCTTGGGAATGCAAAATGGTAGTTTTCTAAGTATCTTCCTTTCTACTTTTATTAGCTGACATTCTACAACAAAGAGCTTTTCATATTACTCCTTTCCTTTTTTTGAATATCAGTGAACTCATGGATTTTTTTGTTCATTTAATCTCTTACAATCATCTAAGTTACTGTTTGTGTGTGTGTGTGTGTGTGTGTGTGCTCAACATGCCTTAAATTTGGCCAGTAGGATACATTTTGTTAAAAAGAAACTATGGAATCTGCTTATTCTTGTAATTTGTATATTTATTATTATATGTACTCAATGAAAAGGAAATTTTCAAATGCTAAATTTCAATGCAACAAAAATCTTTTTAACTCTTCATTTTTTTATTCTGTCCTAGAAGTTTTCTCTTTTCCTATACTTTATAAATCTCTTATCTCCAAGAAGGCTTTTAACTGTAGAACACAGCAAATTTACTTCCTCATTGCTTATAAAGGTTAGACTTATTTTTTTCCAACAAGACATCCATTTCTTAATAACTCACCTTTTTAAGTTTAAGTTTTTACAGATTTTTTTAGAAGAAGGTTGAGAGAAAGAAACATCTATTTGTTGTTACACTTATTTTGCAATGCATCCATTGGTTGCTTCTTGTATGTGCCCGGATCAGAGATCCAACCTACAACTTTGGCGTATGTGGAAAACACTTTTAACTAACAGCTACCCAGCCATGGGCAAGACATCTTTTTAGTAAGACATCTCAGACGATTCAGTTCTTCAAAAGGTGGTAGAGTTGTGCCTTTTAATATTTATATGTTTTTATTTGTAACTTGTCATCCTGCTTTGACTAGAATTTCTTTGATTACTAGATTAAATCTAAGCCAAGTGCAAGCGAGGGATAATCCCACCACCTTTTCTGATGTTGTGATCCAGTCTCTTTGGGGGAAGGCTATGAAGTTTATTGTATAAGGCAACTGTGACCTACAGTTCTTGAATCATTTCCATGTTGTCCTCAGTGAGTACTGTTCTCAGAAGAGGATGCTTTCTGAAAGCCAGGTTTTGAATAATTACATTTTAGGTAATGGAATGCCAGAGAAAGAGAAGTGTGAAAAAGAGGATTTTTTCAAATAACTCTGGATTTGTCCTCTGTTTATTGCTTGACTTCCCTGTAGCTAGCAGTTATACTGCACTTGGGAATTTGGGTTTTGCCCATTATTTTCAGTGACAAACAACTGCTATTGTTGTTACAAACAAAAGAGTTCTTTAAAATATTTTCCATTATTTAAATAAATTACAAATGCTCATTGTTGAAAAAGGAATGTATCTGAACAATATACAGGTGTTTAAACTCTTCCCTTTGTCTTCCTCAAATCCTACCCTTCAATAACTTTGATGTATTTATTTCCATACTCTGTTATATGCACATACAAATATATAACCGTTGCACTTTTTCATCAAAATGAAGTCTCAATCTATATGTATTATTCTGTAACTTGCTTCCTTCATTTCATCGCCCTGTAAGAGTGGATATAACTCCCAATTCTTTTTTAAAATATATTTTATTGATTATGCTATTACAGATGCCCCAATTTCCCTCCCCTTGGCCCACCTCCACCCGGTATCCCCCTATACCCTCCAGTAGTCCCCCCTGAGTTCATGCCCATAGGTCATACATATAAGCTAGACTACTCCATTGCTTATACTGTTCTTAACATCCCCGCTGTCTATTCTGTACCTACCAATTTGTACTTTTTAATCCCTGCACTTTTTCTCCTTGTTCTCCCCCTTCACCCTCCCAACTGATAATTCTCCAAATGATCTCGATATCTATGATTCTGTTTCTGTTCTGATTGCTTAGTTTTTCAGATTCAATTGTTGATAGTTGTGAATTTATTGCCATTTTAATGTTTATAGTTATGGTCTTTTTCTTAAAGAAGTCCCTTTAACATTTCATATAATACTGGCTTGGTGATGATAAACTCCTTTAGCTTTACCTTGTCTGGGAAGCACTTTATCTGCCCTTCCACTCCAAGGGATAGCTTTGCTGGATAGAGTAATCTAGGTCGTGGGTCCTTGCTTTTCATCACTGAATACTTCTTGCCAATCCCTTCTAGCCTGGAAAGTTTCTTTTGAGAAATCAGCTGACAGTCTTATGGGAAATCCTTTGTAGGTAACTGCTTTTCTCTTGCTGTTTTTAAGACTAACATTTGACATTTTAATTATGATGTATCTTGGTGTGGTCCTCTTTGTGTCCATCTTTTTTGGGACTCTGTGCTTCCTGGACTTGTATGTCTATTTCCTTCACCAAATTAGGGGAGTTTTCTTTCATTATTCTTTCAAATAAATTTTCAATTTCGTGTTCTTTTTCTTCTTCTTGCACCCCTGTGATTCAAATGTTGGTATGTTTCAAGTTGTCCCAGAGGTTCCTTAGCCTATCCTTTTTTTTTCTCTTCTTTCTGTTGTGATTGAATGCTTTTTCTTTCTTATGTTCCAAATCATCGATTTGATTCTTGGCTTCATCCTCTCCACTGTTGGGTCCCTGTAAATTTTTCTTTATTTCACTTCGTGTAACCTTCATTTCTGCCTGGGTCTTTCTTATGCTGCTGAAGTACCCAAAAAGTTCCTTAAGCATCCGAATAACCGGTGTTTTGAACTCTCTGATAGATTGCTTCTCCCTTCTGTTTAGTTCTTTTTCTGGAGTTTTGTTCTGTTGTTTTTAGTTGGGCCCTGTTTCTTTGTCTCCTCATTTTGGCAGCCTCCCTGTGTTTCTGTGTATTAGGTAGAGTTGCTCTGACTCTCATTCTTAGTAGTGTAGCCTATTGTAGCAAAGCACACCAGCAAGGTGGATGGAGCGGAGCCTTAGGTAATCGCCAGGGCAGGGCAACCTGTGTGAACTAGGTTGATAAGAGTCTCTGATATGGTGTTACTGCTCTGTGGCTCTGTGTGGGGCAGGGCTCAAAAAGGGGTCAGTGCTGCTGCCTGGCCTCTGGAGTTTTGTCTGGGAGGAAGATGTCCCCCAGCACTCATCCTGGTGCCAGACACTTCAGTTTCTCCCCATATACCACTGGTGCCCTTCCGGCTACTGCCCTGGTGCTAAAGCCCAGAGACAGTAAGTCCTAAGTCTTTTGCAAGCCCTTTAAGAGGGGACTCCTGAGTATCCTGAGTTTATTCTGCTGCCCCAACCCCTACTGATTTTTACAGCCAGAAGTTACTTATGGGGACATATCTTCCTGGTACTGGAAACCTGGGCTGTGTGACCTGATAATGGGGTTGGGATCAGTTGCTCTCAAGGTATCCCTTCAGATTTTATCCACCACACGTGGGTGTGGGTCTGCCTGTTCCATGTCTCTGCATCTCCATATCTGCCCCTCCTACCCATCTGGATGAATGTGACTTCTTTAATTCCTTGGTTGTTGGATATCCATACAGCTCAATTTCTGACGATTCTGGGTGATACTTGTTTTGTAGTCCAGTCATAATTTTTGCTGTGGTTGTGCGAGGAGACAAGCTGTGTTTACCTACACTTCCATCTTGCCTGAACCCCAATTCTTTTTTAATGGGGTTCCAAGTATTTCCTTGGAAAAAAGTTACCAGATTTTATGGGCTTCATGTTTTCCCTGCTTAGAAAAATTTTTTATTTAGCAACAAAAGTGTTACTCAAGTGCTATATACTTGCACACATACTGCCTTTCTAGTTTTCTTATGTGTTTTGTTTCTTCCTTTGTATTAAGAGTCCACTTTCAGTGGGTTATTATTGGCAGAATCCTGTGAGGCTTGACTAAGGATTTTGCCATAGGGAGAAGATGTGTCTTTGTTTCTGCCAGGTGCCTCAAAGGAGGTCTTCAGGCTGGACCACCTTTTTAAGTTAATTTCTCTACTTGGGGTTTACCCGACTACAGAGGTAGTATAAATTCAAATTCTTAAACCCACATGAGGATAGGCCATGGTCACATGTTTTCAGAGGAGACCTTTCCCAAGGCAGAAGAACTTCCTTATTTTCATCCTGGGCCAGCAGGTGCATTTTTTTCCTGGACCAACCATCTACTGAGGGTATAGTCCTTTGGTGCTCTCAGCCATGGGCGAATCTCAGTCCCAAATCCTACCCTGTGA